CTAAAGATGCTCGAATCAGAGTCCTTGGAGAACGAGGGCGAATCAGAGTCCTTGATGATCCGAACCATCCGATTCCATCGGTGTCGGTGGAATGGAAAAGGATTGGAAGGGTGTGACTGTGCCGTAAAGGCATCTGATCCGACAGGGGAAAGATCTGAAAGGAGTGAACACAGAACGGCCATGCTACTAGGACCAAGGACGCTACTAGTAGCAAGGTGCATGGCTACTAGTAGCGTCCTTGCTACTAGTAGTCATGCCAGGAGCTACTAGTAGCTTCTTGTTCCTAGTAGCGATGCAAGATTCAATCTTCCTCCTTTTTCTGCATGCTGAAACCGACGTTGGTACGTACGTGACATACAATGACGATGTTTGCAGAAGTGCATGGACTCCCTGGACCTCACCCTCACCCAACCCGGCTGAGTGCCACACCTGACCAACATCCACCACCTGCTTTGGAGGGGTCAGGTCCCGGTCTGGTCCCGGTCGACGGTTTTCGCCACTCTCGATCCCTTCTCCAAGGTCTGGTGCTTCGAGGCCTTTGAAAAAAAAAAAGAGACACGGAGCTGATCATCGGATGGTGTGACAACTATCACAGGAAGCACACGAAGCTGTTGCGTCAAGTCTTTCTTGCGATTCTGTTCCACCATGTTCCACCTGATTGCAGGAGAAGCATCCATTTATATAAGACAAGCCGGCACTGAGAAGCATCCATTTACGTCTGATTTGTACTGTTCCTGGACGACAAATCCCGCACCCACCAAAGCTCTGTCAACGGCTCTTCAAAAATTGCCACTAAATAGAGCGCCATTTGCATCGCAGTGTCCTCGTTTTGTCTCCTGATTCCAAATTACACTCCTGGATAATATCATGGAACGGAATCCTATTCTCAGGCCGACCTAGCCTAACATTGAACAAGGAAACCGAGGAATTGCTGAGTAAACACACTCTCCCAAGCCATGGCCGATGCAAGTCTGTGCTTCTGTAGCAAACAAGTTGCACGACGTCCCACACGTCGTCCCACGTCCCGTCCCGCAGAAGGCCTTCTCTGGTGTACTGTCCATTGGCCATTGGACTGAGGCAGATCGCTCCTCTTCACCGCCGGTGTTTTGACGAAAAGGTGAGATCTGACGATTGGTCTCCCAGAAAAAGGCAGGTTTCCATGGTCTCAATTCAACCTGTCGCAACTTCGTGGCAAGTCCAACCCTGTGATGAGTTGCTGGTCCACTCTCAACTTCTTTAGTTTGCGAATGCCCAATTGTCCGAGGGTCCTGCATTGTGGCGCCGGCCCGCCATTGCCAGCGTTGCACCTTTAGGCCAAGCATTGCGAATTTAGGCAGAACCCTTGCGTGGCCATGGTGCCAATTTGCCAATAATGTTTCTTGTCAACCCAATCCTGGCTAAGCCAATTCTTTGTTGATGACAAAAGGTCCCAGGTGGCCAAAGCCCCGAAACCTCTAAACCCAAAAACTCTTGCGTTCCTCGTTCGGTGAAGGGTCCCTTGGGCCTTTTACAAAGTCAACTCAATCTTCGCCTGCGCTCGGGGTTGCCGAACCACACGCCCAGCCTGACCCGGCGGTCAAGACAGGCTTAGAATTGTTGAGTGTGCATAGTCAGTTTTGTGCAATCTGTAGGCGTTTGCTATCTGCGTCATGCTTAAACATGATCTCATTGGGCAAAGAACACCTAACAAATGAACGTTGAATCAGAGCAAAAGCTCATCCCTGGGATTCTGTCATGGTGATAACCTCAGGCTGACACAACTCCAGATAGAGCCCGCGGTAACTGCCTCGCAGGATGTTCCCCGGGCAGAGTTACATAGTTACATGGTTACATACGTACATACCTACATACCTATATACATACCTACATACATACATACAGACAGACAGACAGACAGACGTACAAAACGTACATTACGTACATTACATACATTGTACATACATTGTACATACATTGTACATACATTGTACATACAT